GCTAAACTGCTAATTCTCCAGACGGATGGCTTCTGCTGCTCTATAGACTTCAAACTATTGGGCTATTTTTGTGAAGGTTTAGGTGCCGTGGACGACTTTACCACCACATTGGGAAATTCAAATACTTGCATGCCTTTATAGGTTTTCACTTTGGTCCATTTAGAGGAAAACCACTGCTCCGACATTTTGAAGTAATACGTTTACCAGTTTAAAAGACAGAGTTTGGTATTGTTGTGGGAATATTTGTTGTAAGTTTTTATAGTGCATATATAATAGTATTGATGTAACTGTAAAAATTGTACAAATTGATTTTCCCCTTCTATAATTCCTCCTCTGCAAATATGACTCTAGTTTCAGCTTTTTGTTTTCATAGTGAGCTGTGGATGGAGAGAAATAAACTCTAAAACCAAAACATAATTTTAGATTAAAGTGTAGATCACCATCAAGTATGACCACTTTTTCTTTACTCTTTTAACATACATACGATAATCTTTTAACATACATACAATAAGATGAGATAAAAGAACCTTTCTCATAGTGGGGAAATTCCAAATCATATAGAACAAAGAAGAAGTTGGAAGCATCAGTGTTTCTCATATGACCCACTATTGTTGATAGAATTGTACTGTACTGCCAAAAACATCTGTTAATATTTGTTGGATCCAGTTTGTAAGCTTTACACAAGTTCCTGGCTACATTTTGTTTCTCCAAGGTATGCACAAAATGAAATGTATCTGGAATTACAGAAGGACTATGTACAGTAGTAGTATATTGTTGTAGTTGTAGTAGTTATTTGCTGTATTAAACTTTCTTTTGCAGTGACCGTTATTTCCAAGACACTGAGTTGATATGAAAAAATAAACGATTCTAAATGAGGAAAGTATGGTTTAGTTTAGCTATCACAAATTTCTGGTAAGCCAATTGTTTATTCAACATTCAAATGAAATAATAGTCATGTTGTTGGCGCAGGTCCCAGATTCTGTCGTGTCCTCTGGCTCTGGCTCGTTGCTCAAGGATCTGGTTGAAAAAAAAAAAAAAACGTTACTTTTGGTTATGCAGCTTGTGAGTCATCGTGTGTCGTGTCCCACACAAAACACGCAACACCAACTGGAGATCACTAATCTGATCAAGATCCAACCCACCGAGAGCTGGCAGTGACGTACATAGTTTATTTTAAAACTTGACAAACTCGCCAACCTAATGTGGCCCAAGACGGTAAACTCAACAGCAATTAGCTCTGGTTAATATTGCAGTGATTACGAGGGATTTTAACGTAGGCCGTTGCTACGCTCATAAAGTCCCTAGAGCTGGACGCAATTATTACAAAAGCTTCGCCCATAAAGACTGAAGAACTGAATCATGGACTGACGATGTGTGATACTTGAATTAAAAGACGTGACGGGAGGAAATACATTTAGGAATATGCATTAATTCAGATTGTGAATTATTTGGCTTGCAATGTCTTCCCGCCTATAGGAGCCAGTACCAGTGAAGGGACATGGCATTTTTTTAACCCTTCAAATCTTAAAAGTATTTCAAAATCCCTCCAATGTTGTCTTTATCCTTGCTCCAATGAGGAGAAAAAGTAGTAAAAGTAAAGCTGTTGTGAGCCAGTTTTAAAAATGCCAATGTTTATGAAATTGCAGCCTGTTTTAACCATGTTTATACAGTGTCCTTGGGTATTTTGAAAGGCGCTCTTAGATCAAATGTATTGTTATTATAATCCATCTACTGAACAATAAAGATTTTTTTTTTTATTGGATTGACACAACAAACCATTATCGGTATCTCTATCTCCTGAGAAAATGTGTGGACTAAATTTTCTTTGAATCGAAAACTGGTTGGAAAGGACAAGAATACATTTTATATTTTGAATTTTTTTTTTGAATTTTGGGATAAAAACATATTTTTACATGTATCAGGTTCCTTTCACATAAGTACCACTGAGGCACACAAAGGTACATTGACTGGTGTTTGTTTATCTCTTCAATTGTAATATCAATTTTTATAGTCAACACATCAAAGGTCAATAACTTGGGTTGAAGGAACTAAAATAAATGCCTTGCTACAATTTGAAACTATACACGAAACATTACATTTTCCCAACGCCCACACTGCAATTGAATACATTCTCAATTATAGAAATAATATCATGAAAAAAAAACTCCTCCATGCAGCGTATATGTTGTTCAAATGTTGCTCCTGTCTTGCCACAGAGACCAGTGGATTCACCAGGCAGCGTGCTCTTTCCCACAGGCTTCAGCATGCGTCAGTTTGAGTTATAAATCATTTAGATACACTCTGAAGGGACACAATACACTTTTATCCATCCTTTCATCCTCCCACTGTTCACTTGTATTATTAGACACAGCTTTATATTTTAGGAAGAGCATTGTGGTGGCTAACGGAAGAGAAAGGGAGATGCGATATTTGAAATGTATGAAAGGACCATGTACTTCCTTTTAAAATCAAAGGTCAGTGTTATTTGGAGAAACGTGTAATGGATTAAATGTAAAGGTTCTTGTGAGTGAGACTGTGTTAAAGAAATTGGTTGATATCATGCATCAGTGTTTTTTTCATCCATTTTGTAACAATATAACACTGTTGTGTGGTATTACAATTACTGTTCTATGGTGTTTGTATCATTGTTTAATTGTGTAACATCATTGTAGTGGTTTCCCTTTATTCTTCAAGAAGGGGGACTGGAGGGTGTGTTCGAATTGGGGATGCACTGATACCACTTTTTTCAAAACCGAGTATAGAGATATCTCACGTGACGTCACGATGCCTCGAACTCGCGGGGCATCCGCCATACTGGAGGACAAGCAAACGCTGTATGATAGTGGCGTGCACCCGGGACTGCATTAACATGTTCAAAATTTTTGCCGTTTTTGGCTGCAGCAAAAGGAGAGACAGAGAAAATAAGTTGTGTTACCGACTGCCAGCCGTCCTTACTTCACACGGCTCAAAAACAGAAGACATCTCAAAGAAACGAGAGAGAAATGGCACAACCATACGCAAAAACAAAAAACTAATAGCCACCAGAGCGCCCGAATATGCTCGGATCATTTCATTTCTGCTAAGTGAAATCAAATTGATGGCGGATTTAGTGTTATTCCGAAACAAACAGAAGTTTAAGGATAAAACATATCTGTCTGACTGCAACGTGGGGTTGCTCCATAGACTGTAGCTTAGCTTGTAGCATAGCTGTTATATATTTGGTCTCACACAGGACCTCACCCGGTTCACAGGGTATCTGACTTACCGAAGGCCAGCAGACATGTGAACGACTGAGCCGTGCTCGAGGGTGCCCCGTACTAGTATTTATTAATAAAATATACGGCTCCTCACAGTAGACGCAGAAAGCTCCATTGATTTGAATGTAATCTCATTATTTCCACTGCAGTGTAGCCACACATAGATCCATGGTGTAACAATAAACACATTAAATGTTAATCGGAGAATACATTATACATATACATTCTTAATACACGTGCACAGAGGTTTTCAGAATTTTCTGTTCACGTTTTCATGAAAAAACACTGTTTTAATGCGACAATATGCGACCGCGGTAAACCTGCATGTAACGATAAACATTAATAATACATTTTAGGACGCATTTCCAGAGGATCTGATTCATGACTATAGGTTGAGTATATATTTGGGTCACTAACTGCTGAAGTTTCAAATTCTCTGTTCAGTTTTCATGTAGTTCGAGAGAGTTCTAGTTTTGAACGTCCAGTTATAGATAGCTAGCAGGGCTGTTACTCGCCGAGGTTGTCCTCCAGTATGGCTGCCGTGGCTGCTAGTCACGTGACCGTAGGATCCCTCTATAAGTACTGTACCTTAATTTGAGTACTTGCCGATACCGAATGCCAATGTGAACACTGCATTGTGTTATCTCTGGGAATATATAAAACTAATACAACTGAAATTTAAAATGTTTTATTTCTCATTTCAAAAATAAGAAAATGCTTTGACAATAAAACATTTTAGCAATTGTTTTTAGCAATCGATAATAAAAGCCACTGTCATATTCCACAAACGGCACAAAGCAATAGTTCCGGTGTTAGCAAAGGTGCTATACTCTGCCTGGAAGTGAGTTTTGATCAAGTTGCTGGTGATATGTGTGTATATTTTGGACCCACCTCGTGACAGTTTTACGTACAGTGTGCTTTACTCGTCTCTCTCGTTTACATAAACTGCCATGCGGCCGACACACTGTCTGCTTTCTGCTAGCTTGCGTACCGTACAGCTAGCTTGTTTTCTCTGCCGTCTTTAGGAGATCACCATGGCAACATGTGCTGCACAGCTGTCTGCTTTCGTGACGCTATGGGAAATTGAAAATGTGGGTATCGGTTCCGGCATCGGGTCCTATGGTATGAGTACGAGTACGGGTACAAGCCTATGGTATCGACCCAATTCTGGTATCGGTGCATCCCTTGTTCAAATTATTGTGATCACAGTCCTCAGCCTCCCCGTTAAGGTCTACTCAAAGATACTGGAGCGGAGACTTTGACCGATAGACAAGTCTTTGATTCAGAAGGAACAGTGTGGTTGGAGAATGGATAAAGTGCAAGAAAATTAGGGAATGATTGAATTAAACGTTGATAGTAAAGTGCTGCTTGAATGATGTTTGAATTGCTTGTAGATTATCTCAAGATCAGTATGGACTGATTGTATTGGCTGTACCATAGAAGACATTCTATTCCCTTTGAATACATCTAAATAATCACTCACTTTAGCCTGCAGTCTGTCCACATGCTGACTAATTCAAGTATATTACTGAAGTTGTTGTTGACTTTGTGACTGACATTCATTAGAGGAATGTTTATTTTCTCCTGAGTCATTTCACCATCTGGCTTTGTGCGAACACAGAAAACACCAGTCGTTGTTTAGGTGAAATATTTTACCAAATGTAATGTGCGGACTTATTCCCATAAACTTGGATGGATTTTGATGAGTGCTTTGACACCTCTTCCTTTTCTTCTGGTCTGTAGGAACGTCAAGTCTTCATGTCATGAGGAGAATATTGAAGAGACCGGTCCTGGACTAGACTGGTGATTACTGAAGCTTCAAGATCAAGCTCGGCCAATATTACCACCAGGTCAGACCAGCACCTTCACAAAGAAATGTAAAATGTAAAATAGTGCGACATTTAAAAGGAGTGCCATCTCATGCTCATCTTCCACATCTATAAACAAGCTTTCTGACATGAGATCAAAATAACACTTAAGTAAAACTAAGATATATAATTTAAAGCAGGCCTTTCATGACCTTATCAACATATTGTTCAATAATTAATGGACGACTAATATATTTAGTAAACACTTCAGGATTTAACCTTTAAGGCGCCAGTTTTTGTCTGAAATGTCTTGTGAAACAGGAAAAAGAAGAACCCTTTAATTTTGTAGAGATGGAGGACAACTAAAATCTATAACAGAAAAAAACACGACACCTATCGATGAGAAAAAGCCAGGTTCAGGGTCCTGGATTCAGAAACTCTTGTTGAAATTCTGCTGCGTACGTGCCAACAGGGAAAAGTTATGCTAATTCAGGACAGGATTTTTTTTTTTTTAAACCATAGAAAATAAAAAAACAAGAAGATAACAATTTAGACATACTAATTATATAAAAACCCTCAAAATGAAGTAATCTTGAAAACGATAAGTACACTATACAATTAGCTGTTGGGGTTTGAGACTAATATTTACAATAATGGCTGGACTGTACATGAATAGACAGCAGATAACTTTAGGGAATTGTCTGTGGTGAGCCAACCGCCCTGTCCTGAATATGAGGACAAGGCAAGTTGACGAAAATATGAAAGAGAGTAGGTGTCTAGCATATTTTTATAATTACTGTTTAAATATTTGTACAATATGGTAAAATGGTGTTGTTTCATCATCTATTCCTTGTACTTACACAGTCGATTTTAGATTATTGCAAACATTCTTTCGCAAAGGTGGAAGCATTGACGTAGCTGCTGTTGTGAAAGTTTCTGTCTGTCCTTCACCTTGAAGTCAGACAACGAGGAGACATCAGCTATAAATGAGGTCTTGTTTTTCTTGTTATTAAAGCGAACTGCCTGACAACTTCAAAGACCTGAAGATAGCAATACTCACTGACATATTCAAATCAAATACTAGGTCTAGTTGTGACAAAATGTGAAATCATTGTTCTTGCTGTCGACTTAATAAGCAGCTGACGGCACAAGTGTGGATTTCATGTCACTGAGCAATACTGTTCCACAAGTGTCTTCATGGAGAATTTACCACCTGAAATTGCCATTAAAATTTGATGGCACCATTATGCAGTCAAGGGTACAGCTATCTCTCCTTGTTGTAGAATGGTGGAGGTGAAGCAGGTGAAAGATCATAGTTTACGGCCTGCCTATTCACGGAGCCAGAGAGAGACGCGATTGTAATTAAACAATATGCAGTATACATATATTTGTTTGGCAGTTGAATGTAGTTTAAGGGTTTATGGGTGACACGCATTGCAATACAAAAAAATATTTACTGTATATGTACGCTGGCCCAATGATTTAGGTTCATCAACACAAAAAGATGTTTCATTAAAGGTGCAGTAAGCGATTTTGTTAGCTTAGCCGTAGCACCAACTTGAAACCACACCCCCTCCCTTCGCCTCTCAACCAAACCAAACATCCAGCCTTTTCTTTTCTTTGTCACAACGGGTGGCAAACGTGAAATTGGCATTTTCTGTTCAGCCATTTGCGCTGAACACTGCGCGCGCACTTGCAAGAAACAGGAAGAGGGTGAAGGAGGTAAACGCATCCTATTGGTTTGTTGGGCATGAACAAATACCATTGGTTTATTTTTATCGGTCCGCTCCATAATATTTTTTATTAATTTTTTCAGACGATAGGCATCTGGTCCATTCCATTACTATTTGAAAACAAATGATAACTTGACTATTTTTAGGGTTTAGGCACGTTTTCCCTCAATATTTAAAGAAATGCGCCCAAAAAAAAAATCACTGACTGCATCTTTAACTTAAAAAAAATGGACTTTATCACGTTTCACTTTCAGAGTGCTTTTAAATGCTGGGCAGAACTGGGCTGAAGTGGATTACACGAATCAGGGTCAGATGTATGGCATTGGGAAGTGCATTAAATTCTCCTGACGCCTGTACATGGCAATAAGAGTGAAATGGCACAAGGACGCCGCCTGCATCATTAAGTGTGTGGGGTGTGGTTCTTATGGCCGACGATTGGGCTTAAGATTCTTATCATGTGTCCTTGTCCATTTGATTTGGGTTCAAACTGACTGCCCTGGTTCTCCTTGAACATAATGATCATAATGTTATTTCACAAACTATTCAGACGATGCAAACACAGAATTTATATTATAGACCTGGCAATTATACAGGAACTATGATGCATGAAGTACAATAAAGCCATAAGACAGTGGCTTATTGGGTAGCACTCATCCCTCACAGCAAGAAGGTCATGGGGTTGATCTCACGTCTGCCTGGGTCTTTCTGTAACTCTTGCAATGGTCCTTACCAGCCAAGCGTCAACATCTGCAGATGGGTCATCAGGAGATGCACAGTGTTGTTTTCAAATATCTACTTATTTATTCTTTTTGTACGTTGTTTCTTTATTGTTAGTTGCCGTTTGATTGTCATAGTTATTGCATCCTGGTCTATATATGTGAAAGAGTATATGTAGGTGTACATGTTTGTATATATTTCTCAGCTTTATATCTCCCACAAGCTCAAACACTTACACATGTATGTACACACACACACACACACATACTTACCCTACCCTAACCCCACTAGTACCTTTGTTGTTTATTGTACTGTAACTATGTATTTTCCTGTATGCCTAAATAAATAAATAAAAAAAAAAAAAAAAAAAAAAAGAAAAAAAAAAGGAGATGCACAGTGACCACCATTGGAAGGATGGGTCAAATATAGAGCATATTGAAGGTGCAGTAAGCGATTTTGTTAGCTTAGCCGTAGCAACTCAAAAGCACCCCCCCCCCCCCCCCCCCCCTCGCCACTCCACCAAACCAAACATCCAGAATTTTCTTTTCTTTGTCACAACAAGGAGAGATCCTTACCATCAACATGTGGACATTCACAATGGGCCGATGGGGGTGGACCCGGAATAAGAATTAGCCCATGCTAACGTATAGCATTGGAAGAACTCTTGAAAAGTTGGCTCTTGGCCTAAAGTTCCATTCCACATGTGTGTCAATGCTGAGGGGGGTGAATTTTTTTGGACCACTCTTTACTTGCTGTGAATTTTGAAGTCTCTCGTTCAGATGAATGGGGCTTGTGCCACCTGACGCATGCGCAGATGCGTTTTTTCACAATTTTCTTGTGGCCGGGACCACTCGCGGTCATTTTGGATAGTTCCAGTAGAGCATATTTTTTGACCCATTAGTTAGAACGGCGGAGATCGGCGTGACTACGTCCATTATGTTTTACAGTCTATGGAGATGAACAAATTCCATTTGTTTATTTTTATCGGTCCGCTCCAAAATATGTGGTATTATTTTTTGCAGACTATAGGCATCTGGTCATTTCCATTACTATTTGAAAACACATGATAACTTGACTACTTTTAGGGTTTAGAGATGTTTTCCCACAATATAAAAAAAAAATGCGTCTGGAAAAAATCACTGACTGCATCTTTAAAACCTTAACCACATGTCAGTGGTGAGTTCTAAAACATGTATAAAAACAGGTTGTGCGTGTTGTGAAGCAGTGGCAGAAGCCGCAATTTCTAATGCAGGAGATGTTCAGTCAGGATCTGGGACAGGAATCTTCTTTATGGAATTCAATCCAAGTCATGTCTTGTCCTGTCAACTTGAATAAGGCATATATATATATATCCAAGCCTTTGCTTCAGCAGATGGGAGATCATCAAGTGGTGCACGCCTTTTAAAAACAGCAGTGCACTTGATTTTTTTGTCATCAATTAGGAAAAGGTGATATCAAATTACCCTTATGCTAAAAAGTGCAAGTTTTCTCTATTCTTTATTTATTGTTTTTTTTTGATCATTCATGTTGGTAATAGTAAACCAAATGTATTCACTTGTCTGCCCTGTGTTATGTGTGAGAATCAAGATGTAGCCATAAATAGACTATTCTTTTCAGATCTAATGCAAAAATGTGTGTGTTTGTCTTTTTTGGCACTGACTCACAGTTGGTAGCCATTCTCTCCAAAATATTTGATGATAAAACAGTATTTTTTATTTTAATTGGTTCGTGATCACAAGCCAGACCAGATTTGTGCATCTAAATTGGCCTTGTATAATTCATAATGAGGCTGACCCATATAATGTTGAGCAGAAGGCTCTGTCACGTCACACACAGGCTTCTCCCCAGGGTCCGAGCGCAGTGGGAGACGCGGCTGTTCAATGTCTTTAACTTTTCATTATTTTTCACTCAGATTTACTGTATACGCAAGTATTTATGATTCTGATTCTGATTCTGATTCTGATTCTGATTCTGATTCTGATTTAGCCCACAGCAAAAATGCATCAGTCTTAATGTCATGACCGGGACGTATGGGACAATACCTCATGAACTTTTCCACTTTTTGTCACTCCTCAGCCACAAACATAATGTTTTGGGTTTTTTGTGCGTGTGAAAGACCAACACAAAGTTGTAGAAGACATTATAAGAAGTGAATGCAAATTAATACATACTATGAAATGTGTAAAGTATTCAGATTCTGTTAATACTTTGTGGATCTCGTTTTTTTCTGCAATCACAGCAGAAAGTCTTTTCTCAGAATGTCCCTAATATTTGTATAATTTACAGAGCGATTCTTTTTCCCCCCAATTCTTCTTTGCATTTCAAGCACTCACCTCATACGGAGATTGGATTGCACTCAGGTGGACTCCTCTTTACTGTTGACGTTGTTAGTTTGACAATCCATCGGTCATCAGGGCACTTCTAAAGGCAATTGGTTGGATAAATTATTGACCCCCTTATTATTTTTTTAAACATTTACATCATGTATTATTTTGCTTTTACTTCACATTTGTCTACCTCTTTCGAGTAGGAAATGAAGTTTGTGTTAAAGTGAATGTAGTGGATGCTTGATAGGCATTGGTTGTATGGGAG